TGTCTCCTTTTTTTTTTTTAAGACAGGGTCTTGCTATGCAGGTCAGGCTGGCCTTGAGCTCACTTTGTAGCCTAGGCTGATCTCTAACTCACAACGATCCTCCTGCCTCAGCCTCCCGAGTGCTGGGAATATAAGGTGTGTGCCACCACACCAAGAGAGCTCCGTGGTTCTTCATTTTATTCCCCTGGTGTCCTCTCCTCCTTCCCTGCACTTGCAGACTCTGGGAATGATGTCTTTCTCAGACCCCAGCAGAGCAGTCCCTGTCCCCTTTGCTGTTCTGAGACATGGTCTTTCTCTGCTCTGGGTACTCAGCTACTATGATCTCTTCTGCTTATCAATTTGGCAATTTCTCAGAATTTTTGGTCAGCTCATGATAACATCTTGTTCTTGCTTTCTGGCACTGTTAAAGCTTCCTTGTTTCTCGAATCTTGTATGTCATTTCCAGGAAAGCCATAACAAGAAATAGGAAATGGCCTATCTGGTTCTACCATCTTGAACAAGAATTAATTTGCATGTTTTGCACATTTAGTTCCTCAAATGGGAAGAAAATCCAGGTCACTATTGGTAAGCTCCTTCTTCTGGCACCTGTGCTGGGAAAAATGCATTTGCTCCTCTGTGAGAACTCGTCTTCCAGCCTCTGGGGGAACTCTACTTAGGCAGCGAATGGCTCATGAAGGGGCCAGTGCCTGTGTCTGCAGGAATGTCTGGAATTGTGCCAAAAGTGGAGCAATTGGCCGCCCGCCCCTGCCAGCCCAGATTTATGTGGCTCTGCTAACAGTCTCTGACTTGAGCTTTAGTGGTTCTGAAACCTGCTTCAGATCCAGGGGAGTATGTCAGATGCCCATCCTGCAGTGCCCCGGAAGCAGCAATCATAAAGACGGAAGAGAAGAATTTAGGAGGACTGAGCTCACAGTGTCCCTCCAGGCAGCAGGGGGATCTTGAAGGTTTGCCTGTGTGTTAAATTCATATGGTCCCGTCACATCCTCTTTGCAGAATCACACACTGTGTCCATCACCTACCACATTGACCCCTTGACCTTATTAACAAAGCATAAGGTGGATTAGATGCCTTATTTATCTATCTATTTGTCTGCATTCTATTTATGGGGCTCTCACTGTGCAGTGCAGGCTGTCCTCAAACTTGCAGTGATCCTCCTGCCTCACGAGTGCTGGGATTACAGGCGTGCGCCATCACACCCAGCTTATGGAACTTTTCTGAGACAGGGTCTTGCTATGTAGTCCAGGATGGTCTCAAACTCTGAGTGATTCTCTGCCTTAGCTTTCCTGGTGCTGGGATTACAGGCATGCACCACCACGCCCAGCTCCAGATGCTTGCTAATTTACATTAAGTGTTCTTCCAAGCATCCTCCTGTGCACGTCCCATGTGTCTCCCCCAATGGAGAGCTGCAGCTACTGGTCCTACTGTGTTCTGTGCCACAACGGAGCTGCTGGACTGAGAGCAGTAGAGCAGCCTTCTCAGGGGCTGCTGAAGCATCAGGGTGGAGACAGTGCCTTGGAGGATGGGACACTGTCCTGCAGACACAGCACACCCGTCAACCAACGGCCACTATGTGGCTATATTCCAGTACAAAGAATATATAGATTTAGAAATTCAGGTGCTGAAGTAGTAGGGACCCCCTGGGGGAGCTGTGAGTACCTCACTTCTGTAGCTTCTAGCTCGGTAGGTCTAGAGGTCTTGGCTTTTAGAGGTTAGAGGCTTTCACCAGGGAAGCATCCCACTAGACTTTAAGCAAGAGCTTCCATCCAGTAATTTTGGGCTTCTTTTGTAAAGACATAAGCAGGCAAAAAAATAAAAAATAAAAAACAGGTCATTGTTTACCAGTCAGAAATTGATCTTCACAAGGAGCAGGTAGGACCACTGTTGTATAATCAGTGTACTCAGGCATTACACAGAACATTTATTAGGATTCCCTTGCTCAGTGATTGGTACTAAATGGATAAGTACAACAGTTACACTCGAAAAAGCACAGTGACCAGGGATTCAGACCCCTCTGTCACGGGGTCTTAGGTCTCCCCACCAGGTAAACCATCTAGATCAGCAGAAGTACTAGCAAAGGGGAGGAGAATCTTCAGTGGGTGGCAGAGGAGAGAGAAAGCAGGCACCCTTTACAATCACTAGGTCAGCAGCTATAGCAGGACCCACTCTATCCCACGGCCACCCTTGTGTAAGTATTTACGGGAAGAGGGTCATCCAGAATCTTGGAGGGACTATTCTCAGATTGGGTGAAAGCCTCCTATAAAGGACACTGATCCCCAAAATGCAAAGTGCAAAGGAGCCGAGTGACTGGAGTGAATGAAACAAATGAGACATTAAAGGCCAGGAGTGCTGCCCCCTAAAAGTTCATAGCTGGGTCCCGTGCAGTAACTACCGCGGCCCAGCGTAGCTCCCTTGCCCAAGGTCACGCTCCCTCCTTGGGGGCATCCCACATTCAACGACTGTGTGGTGTGAGGGTGAGAATTCCAGGCCCTTGCTTTATTCAGATTAACTCTGAAGGGCCATCCAGCTCCTGAACCCCAACAGGAAAATACCTTGGAGAAGGAACTGTATGGAAAGAGGAGGCTGGACCATGCCCAGAGGAGCTGAGCCTAAGGGAGGCTCCTGGCCAGGTTTTGATGATCTGTAGAGATGAGATCTATAAAACTAGAAAGCTGAGGTTGTACAGGCAGACCAGAAGAAGCCTGTTAAAGGTCCTGAGCGCCAGGTCAGAGAGATTTTCCACAGGTGTGAGGAACCAGTGAGAGTCCTCGAACAGGGCAGGTTCTTTAGGATAACTTCGTCAGTTCCGTTGAGGTTCCTTCCTCTGTGTGCTTCTGTTTTTCTTACTTGCTTACGGGTGTTAATTCCAGGAACCACCTGCATGCCAATCTTCATTTCAGTCTGTTCCCAAAGGTCCCACTTGTCTGAGTCAGTGTTCCCGTTGTTGGACAAAATGTCCAACACCCACAATTTAAAGATGTTTAATTTGGCTCACGGTCTCTGAGGATTCAGTCTATGGTTATGAACATCATGATGGGAGGGCAGGAGGGAGCAAAAGTTGCTCAGTTCATGGCAGTCAGGAAGCAGAGCAGGGAAACAGTGCCAGAGAAGAAGAGACCAGCGAGCAGATGTGGTCCCCAAGGTCACACTTCCATGACCCCACTCAGGCATATCCAGAAGTCTGCTTTACTAGTTCCCTGGGTGTCTCACAAGCTGATCCAATTGTCAGCCTGACTGCCCACCATCGATACTAGAGGCAGTGTTGTTCTTGCTCGATGCTATATCCCTAACCCACAACACACGCCTATGCCATCATAAATGCTCAAGCAATACTGGCTAAGTAAAGGAATAAACTACCACCAGTTTACGTGATCCTTGCACAAAATATCCCTAAAATATTACAGCAGAATTCTTTGCTTCCAAACCATCTTACCCATATCTTGGATTAACATGCTTATGTACCTTCCCTGATCAAGAACTTTAGTGGCTCCCCAGTGTCTACAGACAAACCCTCTGGCCTGACATTCAAAGCATTTAGTAAGCTTGGCCTGGTCCCCCTGTCCAACTTCAGCCTCCATTTCTTGTAGGTTTCATCCACTCGCAGTCCTGAGACTCTACCTCTGTTTTCGATTTTCATGCAATTGCTTTCCTATGAAATAGTCCACATTTCCCCCAGTGCCAGTGGTTTACAGGCAGTAAAATGCAATGATCAGAGCCCAGGCTCAGGAGTTAGCGAGCATGGGTTCAGACTTCTGCTCTGTCCCTCTCTGTTCTTCTTTTTCTATGAAATGAAGTTACTGATAAAATTTGTCTGATAGGAGAAAGTGGCAAATTAAAAGACATAATCTGGGCAAACTGTTTAGCACATCACCTGCCACACTATAAACACTAAATATTGACTGTTTTATTTTCCAATATACTTTTTTTTCTACAAGGACCATATAATAAATATTTGATTCTGTTGCTGTGGCACACAGACAGCCATGGATGTAAATGAAAGTGTGAAATTTTGCAATAAAAATTTACTAACAAACCTGGTCAGCAGGTCAGATTCAGTGCGCATGCTAGAGTTTGCCAATCCCTGTTTCAGGAGCCAGCATACATGAAAGTCTACCCTGACTCTCCAGGAGAGAATGGCTTTGCCAACAACTCCGAGTACTCTCAGCTCCTTAAATGATAGCAGCAACAACAAAGCCACCCCAGCTCATGTAGGGTGAATGAACACCACTCCCACCTCCTTCATGGGTCTCATGTACTGGTCAGGGGGATGGGAGGCGGCATTCGTGATGGCCAAGAGCACAGATGTTGCAGGCAGACAGAGTTGGATTCTTGGATTCTTTTTCCTGAGTTTACACACTGAGTAACTTGGAGTTCACCTTCTGAATCTCAGTTTCCTCAACGGAAAACATGCAGATTGCAAAGCCACAATGCTATACCCCTCCGGGGTTGCTGTGATGTGTCCAAGTGAACTGTCCAACTGGTGCTAGGTCTGTTGTTCTTATTATTATTTCTCTTGACAGCCTTCCAATCATTGTTACTGTCATCTACTACAATACCAAAAGGGATGGTGTCTGCTTCCTAGATCTTAGCTCCTGATACCTGAAGCTGTGAGGCAGCATCTCTAATCCCCAAAGCCAGGAACAGATGTGCAACCACCCAGCTGCTCACACAGGAGATTAGTTCTAAGGCATTCCCAAGATGCCAAAAATCTAAGACACTCAAGTCCCTTACACAAAATGGGATTGTATTTGCACAGATTCTATGGATTTCTTCTGTATATTCTAGCTCACTTATAATAGAATGGCAATGCTTTTTAAACAGCTGTTACACTATATTGTTTAGGGAATAACGACAAGGAAAAAAGGCCATTGTGTTTGGTACAAATGCAAGATTTTTCTCTCCAAATATTTTTAAATCCAAGGATGCACAACCCACAGATACAGAGGGTCCGCTGCAGTTGACTGGCTGCCTGTCTGGATCGCCAGAGTTGGGTATTTACTTACGACTGGGGGACCCCTCCAATCCCAAAGCCCACCAGGCCTCGGAGCACCAGGATCCAGCTATACACAGGTGCAAAAGCACTGAGGATGCCATAGTAGAGAGTCCAGAGCACGCTGATCTTCAGCCCCTGCAGAGGAGGAAAACACAGAGTCATGAGGTTCTCAGCATCGCCAGATAGCAGGGGTCTGTGCCATAGAAAGCCACCAACAGGGGTTGGGGCTGGAGCTCAGTGGCAGGGCATTTTCCGACCGTGTGTGAGGCCCTCGGTTTGAAGCCAGCATTAGGAAGGAATGGAGGGAAAGAATAAAAGAACTGAAATCCAAGAAGCAAAAATAATAAAGCATCCTTTCTGTACCATAAACCCGTTACTAAAATTGGTTCCTTCCACATTTATACTTAATTGTTTTCTTTGGGCTTAAGCTATTTTTCATAGGGATTTTCTTCCTTGGGACCCAAGGAATCTTAAATCAGACATTGGCCATAATTAACAGCCGAGAGAACAAGAGGAGAGAAACAGAGAAGAGAAGAGAAGAGAAGAGAAGAGAAGAGAAGAGAAGAGAAGAGAAGAAAAGAGAAGAGAAGAGGAGAGGAGAGGAGAGGAGAGGAGAGGAGAGGCCACCAAGCTGGGCACCGAGACTGAGCCTTCTGCAAAGGCTGCCGGGTGCCACGCAATCCTCCCCCAGTCCCCAAGACAGGCACTCTCGCCTGTCCAACTCGCTCACAACAGATTGCAGCTGGCTCTGCATGGCCTAATGATGCCAAGCTTTCTAGCTGCCCAGAAGATGAAGACTCAGCCACCACGTGTAAGTACTGTCATGAAGCTTTCCTGGGACTCTGCAGAAATGCCTCATGGGCCTTTCTCCTTAATACAGCTGTCAGTCTGCTTCCTGCTGATCCGCCCCTTGCAGATTGATAGCTCCTGCCTGCCTGCCAGCCTTCCACATGCATTAGCTCTGCTATGCCGGCTACAGAAATAGATCCATAAACATTGTGTGTTCATTAACTTGTTCGCTGAAGAATTTATTAGGTAAATGTGTACGGAGCATCTGCTATCAGCCAGACACTGATAAATATTATCCATTCTTCTGTTTATCCATTCATTTATTCAGTATACACGTACTGAATTCTTACTGTGTGCCTTGCACTGCAGATACTAATAAATATGATTCATTTATTCATTCATATACTTAATACACATGCACTGAGAACCTGACACGTGCCTGGCACTAAAGATACTATACATGTCACTCATGCATTTGTTCTAAGGGCATGTATTACGTATCTGCTATGTGCCTGGCAGTAGAGATATGCATACATACTATTTATTCATTCCTTCATCCATAAAATATATCTGTGTTGAATATTTGCTATTTGCTAGGCATTGAACTACAGCAGGGAACAGGGCAGCTGCGGAGTTTCTGGAATTTTCATTTGCATTTTAAAAATCATTGTCACATCACGACACTGGATCCTCACAGCAGCCCTGTGCAAAGAGATTGTTTTTATTTTTGCTTTACAAATGAGCACAGCAAGGGCTAAAGTAGTTGAGTGGTTTGCTCAAAAGCAGCCAGTGGCAGAGTGAAACCTGGAGCCAGGGCTTCTAGCCCTGACAGCTGTACTTTGAATAAGCTGCTCCCCTCCTCCAGGATCTTTGATGGCTCCCTAGTACCTCTGGCCAAGAGAACAAAGGCACCTTGCAGACTTAATACAGCAAGGACAGGTGGGCCTGGATCCATGGCAGAGAAGTCACTTTGACTTGTCATCCCCTACTTGGGTCTAGCTAAAAGTTACCCTGAAAGAAAATGGGGCCCATTTGGGTAATAAATTATCTAATTTTCTAGAAAAACCATACTCTATTCATTTTTTATGCAAAATATGTCATCTTTTGAAATGTAGACAACTGATTCAAAATCCCTTAAAATATTGTTAGGGATTAAAACAACAACAAAAAAACCACAGGCTGAAGGTATAGTTCAGTGGTAGAAATGTGCTCGGGATCATTGCTGCTTTGATTTTAATCCGTAGGACCAAAAAATAAATAAATAAATAAAGTGGGCAGGGTGCAGATTTAGCTATGGGCCTCTGGTTTGCAATCTGCACCCTAGAAAGCCTGGTGCCATGTGTGCCAGCTGTGTGGTATGGTGTCCTCCAGTCTCTCAATGACACGGACAACATTCATAGGTCACAGAGACACAGGGATCCTCAGAGGTAGAGTCCTACCGCCTTTTCTCATTAAAGATGACATAGATTTAATAACTTTTTTCTTTTGGTTTTTGTTTTGTTTGAGACAGGATCTTGTTATTTGGTTTAGGCCTTAAACTTGCTATGGTAGCTCAGGCTGACTTTGAACTTGAAGACCTCCTCTCATCTTCACCTGGCATTTCAGGCATGCATCGTAACGCCCTACTTTTGAAATAGCGAGTGACCTAAAAATACCATGGTCCTTTGAGCCCCAAACAATAATTTACTATTTATCATGTTCTAACCATGCATCAGTAAACACCTAAATATATCACATACATTTTCTTACTGAATCCCCCCACCATTATTTTTCACTTCTCTTACCAACTCTATTTTGCAGATGGGGAAACTGAGGCCCAGAGAAGTGAAGGAACTTGCCCTAGGCTACCTTGCTCAACAGGGGAGCACTGGGATATGCACCCGGTTGTGTTCATCTCCATGATGTCCCCAGTCATCTGCCCCTTTCCATGGCTGCCACACATTCCTAAGCCATAGAAACTTCTGTGGGAAACAAAGTGGCTCGCTGAAGCCCATTGCCCTGCAAAATTGGCAGTGGATGCCCTCTCGGAGCCTCCCAGCTGGGCCAGGGCAGATCGGGAGATTCTCTGGCTGCTAAGGCTGGCTGGATGCCCAGCGGGCCTGGCTCCCGGAGGAGCTCCGCGGAAGCTTTCTAATTACACCCTGGTACTCGCTCCTGCTCCCAGAGGCTGCGCCAGGAGTCCATGCTGAGAGGGAGGGGCCCTGTAAGCTGGGGTGTTCTCTCTCCTTTCCTTCCCCTCCTTCTGGTAACCCCAGCTTCATGCAGGGTGTGGAATTTTGCCAGGCCATCAGGTGGACTCCCTATGGGCAGCCCCCCGCCCCCCAGCCTTTTCTGTTTGGGTTGGATAAATGTCAAGCTGTTCAGCTGAATTCTGGGTGATAACCCAGTTCAGACCCAGCAGCCAAGGTCAGGGTGAAAGACAAGGACTTCAGTGCCGCCTTGCCATTAGTATCACAAGTGTGGCGTGCAATAGGATTCATAATGGATATTTACTTATTTATTCATTTGTAATACTAGAGATTGGGTGCTCGGCCACAAAGCTTCATTCTCAGCACTTTTTTCCATTTTGAAACAGGATTTCACTAAGCTGTCCAGGCTAGGCTTGCACCTGCAATCCTCCTGCTTCTCCTAAGAGGCTGAGATTACAGGTGTACACCACCATACCTGCAATGGTGAACGTTTGTGAATCTAATTCTCTATGCAAGAGCTTTTTGTGCAAGGCCATTTGCAGTGACACCCTTATGTTGTTAACCCACTTACAGATCAGAGCAGTGAGGCACAGAGAGCTGGAATAACTTGCCCAAGGTCACGTAGCCTAGAAGTAGAGAAGCTGAGACCTGAACCCAGGCAAGGTGGCTCAAGCCTGTGCTTTTCAGTGATATGCTATTACTTCGCTTGCCAAAATGAGCCGCTTAGGTAAGTATTGACACAGGGCTGAGCAGTCCCAGAGAAGGGGAAAGAGGCAGAAGGACTAACTCTTCCTGAGATTGCCACTAGGCATCCTATGTTCACTCAGCTCAGCGTCAGTACCATATGGGACTGAGTGAGTGTCTGTGCACTGTGGGGTACTGAGCCTCCCTGGCTTCTGCCCAATAGATGCCAGTACAGTCCTCCTCCTAGAAGTGACAACCAAAAATATCTCCAAACATTGTTAAGGGTTCCCCTCCCCCATGTTACCAAATGTGGCTCCTGTTCACAAAATTCAGTAAGTGCTGTTGATGAAAACCAGACTATGGATTTTTTTTTTTCCTGAGACAGTCTTGCTGTGTAGTTCAGGCTGGCTGTGGACTCACTGTGTAGCCTCGGCCTCCTAAGTGCTAGGATTATAGGTGTGCACCACCGTGAGGCACCATAATGTATCAAGCACCTAGAGATGGAAGCTAATAGTGTCACAACTAAGACAAGGATCCAATTCAGAGCAAGACTTGGCTCCATGGCACGCACTCTATGACCTTGGGGCGAGCTATCCTTTCTTGGTACCTCAGCTTTCTCTGCTAAAAGTCAGACCGATTATGCTGAGTAAGTATCGCTTATCCAAAAGGCTTGGGACAAGAAGTGTTTTCTATTTTGAATTTTTTCAGATTTTGAAATATTTTCAGGGCCAGGGATTTAGTTCAGTGGCACAGTGCCTGCCTGGCAAGTGCAAGGTCGTGCGTTCATTCGATCATCAGTATAAAAAGAAAAGAAAAAGAAATATTTGCACAGATTTTACTGGTTATCTTTTTCATTTTTATCGGTACCAGGGATTGAACTCACGACTGCCTGCTTGCAAGGCAGGCGCTATATGCCGCTGAGCTAAACCCCCAGCCCCATTTATTGGTTATCTTTAATCCCCAAATCCAAAATCTAAAAGATTCCAAAGCGCTTTTAACATCGTATGTGCCCTCAAAAACTGCATATTTTAAGCTTGATGTGATGGTACACACCTGTACTTCTAGCACTTGAGAGGCTGAGACAGGATGATCTCAAGTTCAAGAACAGGCTGGGCTACCTAGAGAAAGATCCTGCCTCAAAAAAATTTTTTTTTCAGATTTTGGAGCACTTCAGATTTGGGATTTTTGGATTAGGGATATGCGCTTGTAGTATGTACTTTGATGGTGGTGGTGGGGATTTGATGAGCTCATGCATGAACCCTGCTTGGCTGAGTACCTGATATACAAGGCACGATTGTATTTTCAAACTATGACATGCTGGTTGTAGTGATGGTTGATGTTACTTTCCTAGCATCCCATCTCCCTTCTGTCTTCCTAACAGAATTATAAATTTATTTAGATGTCTGGCTCTTGAACAGCTCTAGGAATAAATCTGAACCAACAGTTCTCAAAAGTGTGGTCCCCCGACCAATGGCCTCGACGACATCTGGGACTTGAAAGAAATGCTGTCATTGCTGCTCCAGCTCATGCATGTCTTGTGCCCACCGTGTGCCTGGCACTGCAGAACAACTCACCCATCACATCCATTTACTCGCCAGTGTAGTTCGTGTTAGGAGGAAATTGATGTTCAGAGGTCAATACATTTGCACAAAAGTCACACAGTCAAACGTGGCAAAGTTAGGGCTGAACCCTGCTACCTGATTTCAAGCACACAGCCGTTAGACCACCCTGTCTCTGGAGCACTTGCAGGCTCAAGGGAGAGAGTGATAAGGTGGTCAGAGAGGGAATCACAGAACACGCGTGGTCATCAGAATGATAACTTAGAGCTCTTTATGCCCGTGAAGCCCATGTGTACAGGCAGGAGAAGAGTGGCTTCCCATGCTGACAGAATCAAAGACTGAAATGTAACTGAGCAAAACAAAAGCAATGTAAAATACAAGGGTACCATCCCAAGCTATGAAGGAAATAGATGAGTGAAACCACAAGGGTTCAATCGAATACCAGACCTGTAAATTCCTTTTTTCCTATTTGTAAGCCTATTTCCTGTTATGTCAGGTGCTCCCTCTAAAAGCAGACCCTGAGATCAAGATCCAAATAGCTTATTTAGGTGTTGATCCCAGTGGGAGGTGGACAGATGACACAGACCAAGGAAGGCAGATAGTTCAGTGCCTGGGTGAGCTCTGTCCAGGCGGGCAGTTCTGTTGGGATAGTCATGTGCCGTCCCCTGCCTGCCCCAGCCTTGTGTAAGGAAATGGTGAATATCCAGGGCACGTGCCCGCGCACCAACAGCATCATCTACACTCTGAAGCACTCATGGTTGGACTCCACAATTGGGAGGGTCCAAGATGGTCTTGGGGCATGATATTCTCACTGTCCGCCAACATCGCTCCTCATTCTGCTTCCCGATTGCTATAGCAACCGAGGTTGTGCTACTCAAAACAGCACCACGGAGAGAACCCCGAGGAAGCATGTGCAGAGGGTTGCCTTACCGTCTTCCTGCCGTACTGGTCGGAGATATTTCCCCAGAGCGTGGAGCTGGACATCATGCCTACAAAGACCACCTGTGGGTGGAAACGGTTTCTGTTAGACAGCTGCACAGAGCAAGAGAACAGGAACAAGTCAGAACCACGGTGCCCAGCCCAGCAATACCGATAAGCCAACACCCTCTGCGAACAGTGCAGTGTCTGCGCGTTGTCCTTTGAGCCCTGCACCGATCACACAGGGTGGGGGCTGTCATTATCCCCATTTGTCAGATGGGGAAACTAAGACTCAGAAAAGGGAAAACACCAAGAGGTACAGCCTTGACTAGACACAGGCAGTTTGGCTCCAGAGCTAGGTAGAGTTCTCACTACCGCAAAGAAACATCTTGCCCTAGGGCTAAGAAAAGATCAAGGGCCACAAGTGATGGTAAATGTTTATAATCCTGGTCCTTGGGAAGCTGAAGCAGGGGGATGGCAAGTTTGAGTCCTGCTTGGGCAACTTAGCAAGACCCTGTCTTAAAAGATTAAAAAATATAATAATAAAGAAGGACTTGGGATGTGGCCTAGTGAAAGGGACCTAGGTGCAGTCCATGAGAATTAGAGGAAGGAAAAAGAAAAAAAAAAAACCCAAGGGTTACATGATTGACTTTGGAAGGTGTGAGGCTGGGCATGGGAGGAGCTACAAGCCAGGACTCAGAGAACCACGCTAGAGCACTTGCCTAGCATTCAAAAGGCCCTGGGGTCACTGCCCAGCACGAGGTGGGCTGGGGGCAGACACAGGCCACTCACAGGTTGCTCACCGTGCCAGGCAAACTGTGGGTACACCATTAACCCTCAGATGGGCAGAGGTGGTAGAGTTTGCATGATCCCCTCCATCTGACACAGGGAAGCCAAGGCTTACACAGGCGAGGAACCTGCTCAGTGTCCTCAAGAGGTGAGGCGAGTGGCGAGGCTTAAACCCAGGTAGGCTGACAGGGTCCCCAAACTGGGCTGTAGCCTCACCAAGCGTTAAAAGGCTTCCTGTACACATTATACCTGGTCCTCAGGCCAGTCCCACAAGAGGGTGCTGTTAGCATCTTAGTTTTCCAGGTGCTTATGTAAAACAGTGTAGTATTTGCCAGAAACCTGCACACATGTTCCTGTATATTTTAAGCCATCTCTAGATGAGCTGTGATCCCTAACGGAATGTCAATGTTACGTAAATAGTTGTTACCACTGTATCGTTCAGGGAATCATGACAAGAAGAAATTGTCTGCACAAGTTCGGTACAGATACATATAATATATTTATTCAAGTATCTTCCATCTGTGATTGGTTGAATCAATGAATTCAGAGACTGATGACAGGTAGCCCCAACCTGGGATTAAGGCAGAGGACACTCAGCGGTAGAGCTCTAACTTAGCAAGTGGAAAGCCATGGGTTTCATCCTCAGCCCAGCAAAAACCAGTTATAAAAGGAGACCTCACTGTGCCCAGAGGCATTCCAAGGAAAAAACAGACATGGGTTATCTTAAAGGAATTAATTTCCAAGTCCCAGCTTCCCTAAGGACTCTCTCCCAGGACCACGTTAGGGTTTCCTGTCCCTGCCTCTCCCTCTTCCATGGTTGCCTTTGCCAGTCTTACTGGTGTACCTCAAAGTGCTTTGCTCTGCTACATCAACTCTTTGGGGCTCCACAAGGAATGCAAATCCTTTTGCAAGTCGTCTAGTCTTCAAGACTGTTATTATTATCATTGTTATTTTATTTGTGAACTCGGGACCTCATGCGTGGCAGGCCAGCACTGTACCCCCAGCTACAGTCCTAATGTTTTAAAGAGGGAGAGAGTTGAGCCGGGCGTGGTGGCTGATGCCTGTAATCCCAGCACTCTGGGAGGCTGAGGTAGGAGGATCGTTGTGAGTTCGAGATCAGCCTGGGCTACAAAGTGAGCTCAAGGCCAGCCTGAATTGCATAGTGAGACCCTGTCTCAAAAAGACAAAAAAAAAAAAAAAAAAAAAAAAAAAAAGAGGGAGAGAGTTATTTTGGCTCCCAGTTTTGGAGGAGTTAGTTCATGGTTACCTGGATAAGAGGGAAATGGCGTGCCAGAGGGCATGGTGGAGGAAAGCTATTTTATGTATGGCAGCAGAGAGAGAAGGGACAATCTGGGGACAAGAATACACCTTTCCAGGTCATGCTCCCAGTGATCTGTCTCTTCCGGATAGGCCCTACCTCCTATTTATTTTTATTATTTATTTATTATTATTATTTTTATTTATTATTTATTTTTATTGGTTTTGCTTGCTTACATTCCTGCGTGGAGTTGGTTCATGCAGGTAACACATCTTTATTACGTTTTTCCTTCCCTTTCCCTCCCACACTAGGTTACTCGGGCTTGGCCTCCAGCTTGTTCATCCTCCCACCTTTCCTCCATAGTAACTGAAGTTAGAGGCGTGTGCCCAGCAGCCTTCATTGTTATCTTTAACAACACGGAAGGATAACCTAATCGAGCAGTCAGAAGATTAGAACACTCGAATCTTTCGTAAACAAAGAATGGTGTGTCCTTCGGCATATAACATGGGAGCTTGTTTGGATGTTCTAGCTGAATCCCCTCTGGCTTTCAGTGGGGTGACAGATGTCACAGCCAGATCACAGTCACATCCATTTGGCATATTACATGCAAGTTTTTTTAAGCACTCAGGTACCATTAGTTTATTGAATTATAATGCAATTCCTACAGTTCCCCAAAACTTTTTTGTTGGGGGGGTCTTTTTTGAAACCAGGTTTCACTATGCAGTTCAGGGGTGGTCTTGGACTCACTTTGTAGTCCAGGCTGGCCTTGAGCTTAGGGTGATCCTTCTGCCTCAGCCTCCCCAGTGCTGGAATTACAGGCTTGAGCCAACATGCCCAGTGGGAAAAAACTTTTTTAAAAATATGAACAAAGCTTTTCATATTTATATCCATTAAGTGAGAGTGACAAAGAGATGTGGAATTGGTGCTGAACCCTGTTTCACTTGAGTATAAGTAATCATCCGAGAATGCATGAAATATTTGGAAAACATTCCATTCCTCTCATTCCCTATACACATTTACTTCTTGTTTAAGAGTTACTTGTCAAATTAATTCTACCTTGAGCTGATCTACTGTGTACCACTAAAAATTATAATGATAACGCAGTATAGGAGAAACACTGCAATCGTTAAAAGTGTCTCAGCTCAGAAAATTGGATATGATAATTTAATAATCATAGATTTGTCAAAGAGATTATGATAGGGTGATAAATGTGATATTTTCTAGCATAAGAAAACATTACCTGAAATTAAAATTATAGAGAGAAATGCAATGGAAATAGCATTTTCAGAAAAAAATAACACAAGGCAAAATTGAAAAAGTTTTCTGAAGAGTTTATTCATGGTACTTTTTTCCAGTACTGAGGATTGGACCCAGAGCCTTCACACTAAGCTACAACCCCAATCAGTTGTTTTGTTTTGTTTTTTTTTTTTTTTTGGTCTTTTTCTTTTTTTATCAGTACCAGGGATCGAACTCATGACCACACACTTGCAAGGCAGGCGCTTATGCCACTGAGCTAAATCCCCAGCCTCCCCCCAATCAGTTTTTAATTTTTATTTTGAGACAGGTCTTGCTAAATTGCTAGATTGCCCAGGCTGGGTTTAAATTGCTATTCTCCTGCCTCAGCTTCCCAGAGTGCTGGGATTATGGGGATGTATCATTAAGTCTAGCAGTTGATGACATTTTTAAACAAACTATGGTGGCACCAGGTAAGTATATCAATTCTACTGGGTGCAGTTTTACAAGTATGATTTTATTTCATTTTTAATATTTAAGTGCACCGGAAATGATATCATCTGCAATTTACTTTTTTAACTTTAAAAATTTTATTTATTGACTTTTTGATAGTGCTGGGAATCATACTCCAGGCCTCAAGCCTGCTAGTAAAGCATTCTACTACTGAGCCATGATCCCAGCCACCATCTACAAATTTTTTAAAATTCATGTCCATTTAGGAGAATGCCAGAGTCCTGGAAGTTGCACAGGTTTTTTTTTTTTTTTCTTTTCTTTTTTTAATCGGTATCAGGGATCGAACTCATGACTGCCTGCTTGCAAGGCAGCTGCTTATGCTGCTGAGCTAAATCCCCAGCCCCAAGCTGTACAGGTTTTGCTCAATTCCTTCCTAGATTACTTAGGACAAAAGTGTTTGAGGCTGACTGTCATGAGATAAAATGTGGCCTCTGTCATATGCATACCAAGGAGTTAAATATCCCTCGCCCTCTCTCCCCACAAAAATAACCCAGCAAACACATTTTTACCCAAAGGAAGAGATTCAGGCACTGCAGAGCACTGCTGACTGTATATCATAACAATTATGGTAATCTATTATTATTATTATTATTATTATTATTTTGGTACTGGAGGTTGGACCCAGTGCTAGGCAAGTGCTATATCCCTAGCCCCAGCTCCAGCCTTTCCTATGGTGACAATGATTAAAGTCCATCCTCGTTGGATAAACTCTTGCAGTGCTGTGCCAACTTCCTCACAGAAAACTTGTGGGATTCTGGATCTGCTGAGCCAAAAGTTCTGGACTTTATACCATAAATTACACAGAGCAGGGGCTGGAAACAGGGGCACAGGATCTGCCAGTTCTGGATTAAATTCGACCTTGTGTACAGGGCAGATCTGCCACCAAACCTCTCTAATCCTTAGTTTCCTTATCCACAGAAATGGGAATAATGATAGTAGGTCTTCCACTAGGTTGAGAGGGCTACAGATTTAGTGTATATAAAACCTTTGGCTTAGAGCCCAGTACATAATAACTGCTCAATAAATTGTGAGGGTCTTGTTTGTTACTTTTGCAGCGCTCAGTATCAAACCCAGGGTCTCGCACCTATTCTAGACCAGTTTCTGAAAACTGAGCTACATCCCCATCTCAAAATATGGTTGTAGTATGACAAGAGAGCAAAAAGTTCCTCTATTGCAAAAACACAGACCTAGCTGGGAGTGGTGGCACAGGCTTGTAATCCAAGCACTGAGAGAGGCTGAGGCAGGAGGACCAAGTTCCCACCAGGTAGAGCACCCCTGGGTTTGACCTCCAGTATCACAGAAACAAAGAGCCCTGCAGCTCCTCTGTAGGAGGTATTGGGGAGAGCCAGGATCAGGAGAAAAGAATACTCCCTCCATGTGCTAGGCTCTGGACATACTGATGTACCAAGTCATAGGGACTGGACGATTAAAGGGCAGAGTGTAGACTATACATATTTTGTGTCAAGTGTGGCTCAAACCCTTTGCACAGCTTTTGTGTAAATAGTAGCTTTTGGAACTATCATGATACTTCTCTCAGGCCAGGCCATGGTCCTGCCTTCCAAATGTTTGCTGGCGAACTCTCTCGATAGCAACTGAGCATTTAGCCTATCTCCCCTTTAGGAGCGTTGCTACCTGGCATTTATCTAACTCCTACCATACATCAGGCTGGATGAAGGAGGTTGGCATCTCCTCTCTGCAGCTGGGGAAAAGGGAAGCTTGGAAAGTTTGAGGGCTGTGCACAGCTGGATTCCAAGTTCTCAGCAGCTGAGAGGACCCTGCAGGCCCTGGGCAGCTGGAGCCCTGGGTGGGGCAGAGCTGGACTGAAGGAAGCTGAGGTCCTGGTGGTTCCAACCAGCCCTGGATTCTTGTCTGCTGAGCTCTTGGCTGCAGCAGGAGAGGCACATCCCTCAGGACACCCTACGGGACCTGAACTGTGCGTGAGTGGAAAGAGTCACCTACCGACGTCAGCAATGCCACCTGCCAGCTGGGGAGCTGCCACTCGCAGTGCAGCTGCGGAGCCAGGATGCTGAGGATCATCATCTCCATGGCATCGGCCATCTGCAGAGGAAAGGGGACACCATGAGGCTGGGCTACTGCCTGGTGCGGGAACGGATGGCCAAGCCCCTGACCCCAGAGAGCGTTCAGCAAACCCTTAACCACCGCCAGGGACCACCAAACACTTAAGCTGGGAGTGCACTAGTGGTTCAACTGCTTTTTACGAGAATCAACAAATGAATAGCTAGGGGGATTTGTGTTTCCCATATTTTAAAAAATTTGAGCCCTCCCCGAAGAAGAGGGAAAGCATCATATTTCAAAAGTATGAGCAAAACATTCTCATGGAGAGAATGAGAGACAATGATCTTTCCTCTCTGGTGCAATTAAAGACTAGTTCGTTCGTCTTTGTTTCATAGGTCATTTGTTCATGTAGAATTAATAATCAGTGTATTTAACAAGCATGACCTTTTCATACATTAAAACATACTAGGAAACCCCAGCATTTAAATATCTTTGATTTTACAGGACCAGCCAGACAGAAGAATAAGAAATGAGAGTTTACAAGCAGACCCAGGCTGCCATGGGAATGTGGTGTGCAATAAAGGCACTTTTCAAATTAGTGAGAGAACTGATAATGGTCCATTTGGACAAGTGTGTAATTGAATGGCTGTCTCACACCACTACTGGAAATCAATTTCAACCCCTTTAAGGGTCTAGTTGTGCTATTTGCCTCAGCTGTCTAAGAGATTTTAACAAGGGTTGTGAGCACCTTGCAGTAGAAGGCAACACTTAAACCATTTGTTTGTTTGTGACCAGGTCTTCCTGTGCAGTTCAGGCCACACCCATTTCTCTCCAAGCACAGACCTGGATCATCACCGCGCATCACCCCACATAAACTACTGACATTCAGGCGAAGATTCTACACGGAGAAAGACAGCTATGCCCCTCCTTGTAAATCACAGGAGCCCAGCTGAACAGCAGGGGTTAAGGGGGCTCTAGGAGGTGAATGTGAGGCCACTGTACCCCCATATATACTTGCCCAAGCCAAGCCAGTGAGAACAGACAGCTTCCACTGAAACTTCCCAAACCCGATGGCTTCCACCGCATCTTCCACCATGAAAGTATCTGAGGAGAAAGAGGGAGGCAAAGAGAGGATCAGTGTCCCTGGCATTTATCCCAGCATGGGGTGGGGGGTTCCTGAGGGGGTCCTCAGCCATTCTAACTAACTGCAGCGCGTGCTGCTTCTAGAACTTACCCTAGAGAAACCTCCCAGCAAGTGTGAAGCAGCACCTTGCTACTGTGACATTATTTGCAGCAGAGAAAACTGGTGCCATGGATTATATCTGGATGTAAACCATGCTCAGGAGCTCACATGAGGGGCTTTCAGAGATGATCGAGTCACAGGGGTGTGGCACTCATCAGAGGATTAGTGCACTGAGTTTATGGCTAAATGTAATGGTTTGAGGTGGAACCTAGGGGGAGCAAGTGAGCCAGTAGGGGCGTGGTTTGGAAGGCCTCTCTCCCTCCTTTTTTTTTTTTTTTTTTGGTACTGGGAATCGAACTCATGACCTTGCGCTTGCCAGGCAGGTGCTTATACCACTGAGCTAAATCCCCAGCCCCTCCTCCCTCCTCTTTTCACCTCTCCTTCCCTGGCACCATGATGCAATCTGCTGCCCCCTGCCATGTCCCTCTGCCATGCCCTGCTGCCTTGGAGCCAGCTGTCTCTGGACAGAAACCTCAACAAACTCAGAACCAAAAGAAACCTTTCCTCCTTCAAACTGTGTGTCAGATATTGTGCCTCAGTGATTTGGAGCGTGACTAAGACAAATGGAAAACATGTCAAGTATGTCATGTTGGGTCACTGTAAGGTGTGATCCAGCTGTTAAAAAGAATGCAGATATAGGAAGACACATACTGTTAATTAATTTTAACAAAATATGGCCAAAAATATAGTGTGGTTTATTCTTGGAAATGTATGCATTTATGTGTTTATATATGGATATGCATAGACTAAGGCTCTCAACTATAGTTTTATTTTTGTTGGGTAGGGGAGGGGAAGGATCGCATGACATTTTAGCTGTTTGCCTTTTAAAATTATTACTTCATTGTCAGGAAAAAATACATGCTTTCTAAATTTTTGTTTTGTGTCTTATTTTTGTGCATGTGAGGCAAGCGCTGTATCACTGAGCCAAATCCCCAGTCCAAATGCCTTTTTTTCAGAGCAGAATTCCATGTGCATTGAGAGAAAGATGCCCTATATATTGTTAAGTGGAAGATGCAAGTTGTGGAGAGGTGTGTACCAGAAGAGCAGTCTCTGTGATACAACTGGGTATCAGTGTGTGTGTGTGCATGTGTGTGTGTGTGTGTGTATGTCACACATGTGCACCCTGTACAGGTAGAAAGATGGAACGGGTGTCTTACAAACTGCTAACAGTGTCATTGTGAAATTAGCATTCACTTTTTTTTAGTACTGAACTCAAGACTGCGCACCTGCAAGGCAGGCGCCTACGCCGCTGAGCTGAATCCCCAGCCCCAGCACTCACTTTTTGACTTTGGGTATTTGTACAATGCCTGAATGCTTGCCCAAAAAACATGTTATTTTGTGCTCAGGAAAATAAAGTATAACTTATAAACTAACATTCTGATGAATACACAAAGACTAATGGTCATGGTGCGCGCTGGACTGCATCCTGGTGACATCTGAATCGAATCTGAGTGCAGGTACCAGAGTGTATCTGTGCGTGGTGTTAATTTCTTAGTTTTGACAAATGCTCCATGATTAGTTAAGATGTTTATCGTGGAGGAGGCTGAGTAAAGGGTATGTGGGAACCTTTGGTATTCTGCTATACTTTTTTCTCGATTTTGAGACAGGGTCTCTCTGTGTAGCTCAGGCTGGTCTTAATTCATTACGCAGCCCAGGCTGACCTCAAATTCATTGTTATCCCCCTGCCTCAGCCTCCCAAGTGCTGGGGTCGTGGGTATGCACCACTACACCCAGCCTTAGGCTGCTATACTTTGAATCTGAAATCTCTCCCAATGGCCTGCATGTTAAAGGCTTGGGAGGATGGGTAGCTCTGTTGGAAGGTATAGAATTTCTTAAACGCTGGAGTAAGTTAGGTTATTGGGGGCATTCCCTTGAAGAGAATACTGGGACCCAACCTTTTCTCTCTTTATTTCTCTTCCTAATTGGCAAGTGGTGAAAAGCTTTTCCTGCCATTTCTTTCCTGATGTGTTAACACTGGCCTAAAATGTGGGAGCCAATTGATCATAGACTAGAACTTCTGGAGCTGTGAGCAAAAAACAAACCTTTCCTTTTAAAAAGTTTATCGTCTCACTTATTGTGTTACAGTAACAAGAAGCTGCCTGACACAGCTTTTTGTACCTCTGAAATGATTCCAAAGTAAAAAGTTAATTAAACTATAAAAATACTAAAGGAGGATGGTGGGTAGCCTTTCTAAGAGCAGTCTCTGGGGTCTCATCAGTTCCCACCAGGAGCCATCATCTTTTTTGAAGTTCCAGCCAGGAACCTCTCATGGCCATCATAATTTTCTGCAAAGTGTGATCTACTGTTTATCACACTGGCACCGCACTGTAGTTTCCTCATCTGCAAAAGGGGAAAAATGATGCTTGTAGTTCCATTTGAAAGTGTTGCGGAGATTGAATAGGTAATCCTTGTAGCACGCCTTGTTGAAGCGAGCCGTGTGGCCCAGCCCACACTTCTAACCATATGCCTGGGCCCTCTGGGCTCTCCCAAATGGCCTTTCATCAGAGCATTCTGAGAGTGCTGCCTGGGGGAGGCAACCTTGGCACTCAGAGTTCCTGACCAGGGCTCAGCTCATCCCCCAGCTGTAGGGCTCTCTCACCATCAGTGGGATTGGCAAATTCTTTGGGCACAGCTGCTCCATCGTCCAGCTCAACAGCTTCTAGGCCCACTCGGACCCCTTCGATCTGGACCTCATGCTCTCCCGAAGCCGTGTCGTCCTCTGACCGTGCACTCTCACCTGTGCGACGGAATTTCACCACCCTAGAGAAAAGAGCAAATCTGATCAAGATGGCTAGAACCGCTCTTCGGTGGCCTTGCTGCACAGCTCTTGTATCCAAGACAGGCAAATGCATTTTTTATGGAGAATTGAATGACTGGGAACTGGCATTTCTGTTTAATTGGGCTGGGTGGAAACGAGCAACAGCTTCAAAAGTTACCCATTATGGCTGTCACATACAGCTGGACAGCCCAGGCACTGCACGGCTCTAGGAGGGTCCTATTCAAGTGGCACGCTATGTGAAGAGATGTCCTTGTTCTAGACCTGAATACCATGTAGAAGTGTAATCACACACCATTTAAGAGCAGGGACACATTCTGAGAAGCAGTTCCCTGGCTAAGCAAACATCATAGCATGGACCTACATGAACTAACCCAACTGCTAGGCCATACAATCTCATGGAACCCGTACCACACATCAGGTCCATCATTGTCCAAAATGTCATTATGCAGAGCGTGACTGTGTATTTGGTTCAGAGTTTAGACTCAATTATCTGTATGTAACGGAAATAACTTTAGGCCCACAAAATTTTGGTGGCACAGAATTTTTTAAAAATTTAAAGTGGGTACCAAAAAATTTATATCGGGAGACTTCAGACTTAAAAGTAAATAACAAGCAAACAAACAAACACCAAAAAACGAGTCTCCAATGTCTTCTTATAAAGTAGGGTATCTGGCCATCAGAGGCCCACAAGGTCTGAGCCTGGACCCGGTGGTGCCCCCTGTAGGTGGGATGTGCACACTGCAGGTGACCCGACCCATCAGTTCTGCAATCCCCACTGCATTTGCCTCCCATTCTTACATTTGCTCTGCGTCCCTCCAACCCCGGCACTTCGCTCCATGCGTCTTGCCACTGTCATCAACTCACCCCTTCAAACTCTGCTACTTCTTGTTACTCTAGGGACAGCTTTGTTTCACACCTAGAAATTTCATCTGGGACCCGGAGGCAGAGTCATCTGCCTCCTTCCAACTTTCTCATTCCCAAACAGAACCGTTCACTGCCTGCCAGGCTGGAGGTGACAGTCCTGATAGCCAGATGAGTTCTGGCCTCGCAGCCTCAGAAGGGGGAGCAACACCCTGACGCAGATGCCCATCTCCATCAGACTTTGAGAAGCGTCTTGGGGGTCGAGGGCGTGAGCGAGCGGCAGAGGGACTGTGTAAGTGGATGGAAACTTTAATCAATTCTTTTTAAAGTTAAAAAGGCAGGCGCAGCAGTACATGTGTCATCCGGCACTGTGGGAGGCTGAGGCAGGAGGATCACAGGTTCCAGGCCAGCCTGGGCAACTCAGTGACTTAGGGAGATCCTGTCTCAAAATAAAAAAGAAAGAAAGAAAGAAAGAAAGAAAGAAGAAGAAGAAGAAGAAGAAGAAGAAGAAGAAGAAGAAGAAGAAGAAGAAAAAAAAAGATCAGGGGATGTAGCTTAGTGAAAAGGCCCTGGTTTCAATCCTCAGTATGGGAGAGTGAGTTTTAAATACAAAATACTGCTATTAACTTTTGACTCATCTCCTGTATTGAATTCACCAAACAGTAGCTAGTGCTCTGGCACAGAAAGCGTTAATTTCAGAAGCATGGAAAATTTGCCTTTTGGGAACTTACAGAAAACACAGATGAGAAATCACAGTGACCTATACCTCAATCAAGGGCAAGGCTGGGTTTGAATAGGGGCCCAGTGTGGGGCCAGATGGCCAAGTTGGAAGCCTGGTACTAACAAATTTATCCATCTAGCAACGCTGCCTTCGAGCTGGTGCAGAGCTGAGGCTATGAACAGTCCTAGCTCATGTTTTCACGTTTGCTGTGGTCTCGGTCTGTGAAGTTGGTGTCATTATCACCAGGTATCAAACTCTACACCTCACGCTTGCCAGGCAGGCGCTTATGCCGCTGAGCTAAATCCCAGCCCCCATTTACTTATTTTTGAGATGGAGTCTTTTTATATTTTCCAGTCAAACTCCTGGTCTCAAGCAATCTTTCTGCCTCAGCTTTCTGAGTAGCTGGGATGACAGCGACATGCCACCATGGCTGACTTCTAATTTCTATCATAAAAATATTTTGTTTTGAAGTATTTCAACAATACAAAAGTATTGAGTCTGTCCAGCTTAGGGACTAAGAACGTCTTTGAGGTTAAGCCACATGAAACTGACAATATTCAGTCACGATTCAGCTGACACTGGCCTGTCTCCTTCCCATCTTTATAGGTACCGCTCTTTGTAGACCAGGGGGCTCTATGTGCCCCATTATTGGATTTACTCCTCATAATAACCCCGAGAGGTGAGGATTTATGATCATCCTCAATGGAAAAGATAAACACAGTCACACTGAGCCTCAGTAACCTCTTTTATACATTGGGAACAATAGTTTTATAGACTGAGTTATCTTGAAGCAGATCTAAAAAAATTTGGGGGGGGGGCTGGGGATTTAGCTCAGCGGCATAAGCGCCTGCCTTGCAAGCCTGTGGTTGTGAGTTCGATCTCTGGTACCGGTAAAAATACAAAAAAGAAAAAAAAAGACTGAAAAAAATTTTTGGCATTATAAAATATACACAGCATCTTCACCGTACAGGTCTGTAGCATTAAGGACATTCACACGGCTGTATACCCGTCCGTCTCCAGAACTCTCCCACTTTCCCAGTGGAACTCTGTCCCCGTTAAATACTAATTCCCCATTTCTCCCTCCCTCACAGTTCCTGGAAACCACCATTCTGTTTTCCATCTCCTAGCAACTGTGTATAAACAGGTCACGCAGTGCTCATCTTTTCCTGTCTGCCTTATTTCCCTCAGCACGATGCCTTCAAGGTTCATCCACGTGGTAACACGTCAGGATTATATTTTGTTCGCTGGAGATGGAACTTAGGGTCTCACACATGCCAGGCAAGTGGTGAACCACCGACTCACATGCCCAGAATTCCATTCTTCTTTCAAGGTTAATTCTCTACAGATATTCTAGACTTTGTCCATTCATCCATTGATGGAGGTTTGGGTTATTTTGGTCTTTGGGTTGCTGTGAACAATGCTGTAATGAACAGGACCGTGCAGAGACAGGTTTGCATCCCTGTTTTTCACTTCTTTTTGAGAGTAGACTTGTTGAATAAAATCAAACTTTTGAAGAATTGCCAGACTGTTTTCCACAGCATGGATATCACTTTGTATTCCCACCAACAATGGGATATTGTATCCCAGGATCTCCCCATGTCCCCAATACTTGAATTCCTCTCCCTTTGATAATATAGTCATTCTAGTGGGTGGGAAATGGTCTCTCATTCTTTTCCTAACGTTGAGCAATATTTCATGTGAGTTTTGGCCTTTGTACATCTTTTATGGAGAGATGTCCATTCAAGCTCTTAAACTGGGTTGGCTTTTGTGGTTGAGTTGTAGCTCTTTATGGATTTTGGACACTGAACTCTTATCAGATCATGACGGGCAAGTTCTTTCTCTCACTCAAAGGCTCATTTGTTGTTCTGTTGATTGTGATCTTCTGACGCACAGAAGCTTTTAACTTTGGTATAGTACATGATGATTACCATGACCATAAGGAGTTGGTACACGCACATTACACATCTAAATTCTTTTCTGTTTTGTCCTCTAAACCCTCCACTCCCTCTCTGCTCCATCCCCAACTTTTGATCCTTTCCCCATTTGCAAAAGCTTTATTCTTCCATCTCCCCCTCCTTCCATCTCTTATTCCCCATCACTTGAGAGAGTTCCTACTTTCTATTTATCTATCTTCCATTTTGCTTTCTCTCTCTCTCTCTCTTTCATCTTTTTAATAAATGATACTGGGAACACTAAAAGACCACATGCAGAAGAATGGGCTCAAATTAGTGGTCATTCTGCTTCAGCCTCCCACGCGGTGGGGTTACAGGGACATCTCACAGTGCCTGTATTACTTGTGGGTTTTTTTTCTCAGTGCTGGAGAATGAGCCCAGGGCCTCACATATACTAGGCAAGTGCTCTGCCACTGAGCTACATCTCACGTCCTGTTATCTGCACTTTTGTTGTCATCCAAAACAATCATTGTCAAATTCAACGTCATGAAGCTTTTCCCCATACACCGGTATCTTGGTTCATGAATTTAATTTGCTTTATGATTTGGGGGAAGATGGTTCCATTTGTGTTTGTGTGGGGAAGATGACTGTGGTTGTATTTGTCACTCGACGTGGATTTTGTGAATGAAGCAAAATTTTATTGGGCACTTTTGTTTGAAGCCAAATTGTGAACAGAAGCATTCGTGAATTAAGGCATTACTGTATTTTCTTCAGTGCTGAGGCTTGAACCCAGGGCTTTGGACACACTGGGCTAGCACTCTACCCCTGAGCTACATCTTCAGCCCTTCCTAGTGTTTTTTAAATTTAAGTCTTTGATGCATTTGGGGTTAACTTTTTTTAAAGGTAAGAGTCCAACTTCATTTTTCTGCATGTGGCTCTTATTTATCATTTATTAAAAAGACTCCCTTTTTTTTTTGTCTTTTTCATTTTTATTGTTACTGGGGATCGAACTCACGACTGCCTGCTTGCAAGGCAGGTGCTTATGCCGCTGAGCTAAATCCCCAGCCCCTAAGATTCCTTTCTTATTGAATGATCTTGCTCCCCTTGCTGAAAACCATCTGATTCAAGGGTTTTCTGCTGATGTATGTGATCTCCTGTTACCTTGACAACCAACCAAGGAAGGCGGTATGACTGTTACACAGTTTTGTGGAGGAGAAATCAAATGCCTTAAGTGGTTAAGGTGCTTGCCCTAGATCACGTGGTTTGGCGGAGCTGAGGATTAGTCTGGCTGTCTTTGGGATTAAAGCCATTGGTTCAAGCTCCTGACATCAAGTCCGTGCCTCTCCCAAGCATTCCTGTGTCTGGGAGAATAAACGTGAGGTCCAAGCTGAGCTGGCCTACGTGACCCGGCTTGCCAGGCATGGAAAATGGTGTGTTTGGAGCTGCAATCAACAGGCACAGCTTGATGGCAGCCTGGCTAATAGTGCTTTAGGATGCCACCTACTGC